TTTTATACAGGGTGTCCACAAATTTAAACTAATCAAATAAGAACTTTAACTGGCTATAACTTGATTAATTTAAATACAACCCCATATTTTTTAGCGAGCTGGAAGTATTTGAGTCTTACCGTTTAATATACTTGCCTGAGTTATCATGATTTTTAGAAAAAATGTGACAAATCAAACTTTTTTCAGATTTTTTGAAACATACCAAGTGGTTAAGCATAAGGGGACCCAACGCCCCTAATGGACCTGCAATAAATCGCCTTTCCAGAAATATCATTAGAGAACCACCCATAATGGAGTGCATAATTTAGCGAAACGAGATAAATCTTATGTGCATATTTCGCAACAAATATTTAACACTTGCTGCTGACTGGCGCATGCATGGTGACCATAGAACAAGGTGCTAAACAAGAATTATATGGTGACGGTGACACTAGGCCGGTATGTTTAGTCGATCTTTTACGATGCGCCGGCCTCTTGACGTTCGTTGGAGGCAACTTTGGTTGGACAACCGATCACAAGGGCATCTGACGCACGCGCATTTTAATGTTGCTGGGCGATGCGGTGAGAATTTGCAGGAGATGGGTGCAGGCATCTCCGGACGAGCGCCAAAGCTTTTTTTGATTTTATATATAGTTTTATACTATTTTTGTTTTAAATATATAGATAACGATCTCGATGTGTTAATACAGTGTTAATCGGAATAATTCAGACTTGGAATTAGATTTGAACATACCACAACACAAAGGTAAGTAAAGAAAACATCAACAAGCGTGATATGCAATTCAAATAATAATTGTGTTATTTTCAGGTACATTCGAGATATGAAAAATACTTTAGAAAAATTTACTGAATCTGATTTCAGAAAACGCCTTTGTTTCTCAAAGGAAATCGGGCAAAATATTTTGTTGACATTAATTAATCACTAGGAACAAATCACAAATCGAGGCCTTTGATAATAGATATCTTTATTGAATTTTATTGTCAGTCCCTACTTGTTGAAAAAAATCAAGCTTGCATGTGTGATGTGTCGTTGAAATAATAATCATAATAAACAAAGTTATTACTGCATAACATTTTTTTAATGGTTAGACAAGAGGTTTCCGGAATCAATTGGTTGATTTTCTCAACGTAAATAACGGCTTTCACCGCTAATATGTCTTTTCTTTAGAAGATTTGTTATTTTGCGATTTATATATACAATATCTAATCCATCGAGGCAACTAGCCGCAGTGGAAAGCGTTTATCTTTTCTTCCTTTGACGGCGTTCCAGCGTCGACTTTTAAAACGATTTCACCAGCCAGCTAAACAGCAAGGCAGTGCCCACAGATCACAGAGGTTCTCTGTGATTTTCACTTAAGTTTCCTAGTTCTGAAAAAGGCAGCTAAAAAACGCGCGTACGCACCTCAAGAATAAGCAATTCTGCAAGGCTGGTGGTCCATAGTAACATACTCCAAACAATAACACCCGAAATGCCTAAAAACACTATCAGTGGCTTGTATCTAGCTAGATCAGTGATGAGAAACACTATTGTCAGCAGCCCCAGGTAACTGTAAGTTCCGGCCGGGTAAACTTGCTGATTCACTTGCTCTTCGGTTATATTTCTCCATTCGCCTATCAAAAACTCGTAGATAAACGGTTCAGATGGTCGAATTTCTTTAAGAAAACCGAAAATGCTTAGCAACAGGGATACTATTAGCCAGTTCTGCATTTTAACCGGCTCACTGGAAACTGACTTGAAATGGTGAAATTTTTGTATTATTTTTGATGATTTCCCGCTAACATTTTAGGATGAATTAAGCGTTATCACATAACACCATGTGATTAAGATAACAATAATCAAATCTTTTTTGCGTTTTTACGGACTGAATTAAGAATACCAATGTAGTCGGCATAGCGGTACTGGCCCTTCCGAAAAGCATTTGAAATACCATTCAGTCTGTGGTTTTTTTTCTTTGTTTTACTCGGATATTTTTCATGAGACCTACATCAGTGTAGCTCTGAAGTATATGGTTTAAGTTTTAACCTAGTTTAAAAATACATACAATATACAGGGCATCTGGAAATGGTGCGACCAACACTTCACGAGGTAGTTCTAAAGCAAAAACTACTGGGACAAGTTCCTATGACACTTTTTCGAAAACTCTTTAATAACTGATCTACAGGGCGTTAAAGTTTAATAAATTTATAAGCAACTTGATAAATTTTTAATACTTATTACCTAACTAAATATTAAATAAATAATAATTAATTTTCTTCATTCACTAGAACTAGACGTAAAATGTTGGTCGCGCTATTTACGGACACCCTGTAATTCGTACACGCAAAATATTTTAGGTTTTTTAGAATTAAAATGAAACAAATATTCATCGTGTACATATATAATTTTGTTAGTAAATTACATCTACACAAATTTTATCCACATTATAAGTAATCAGATCCCAATTTCCAAAAAATATAGCTCTTATGTTCTTCAAAACATCAATAAATATGAGACTCAACACCGCTAAATTATATAGATTTATAATTGCATTGAAGGTATATTCTAGCTACTAATAACAATATTCGCAAAAAAATATTGGCATTACTGCTTCATTAATATAAGTAAGTAATATGTGCTTACACTGCATAATATAAAAAAATGAGCTACAAAGTACCCCTACGTAAGAGCACTTTTACAGGACAGAATATTATTTTGTGAGTTCACAGTAACATATTTATCGACCTAAACTGATAAATCGCAACTTTTATAAATTTTATCATATCCAAAAAGATTCATTAAACGATATTCATGTTATTTAAATAAAATAACATTTCTCAAAAACTGTAAAAACAAAATGTAATCTTGCAAGTCAAAGTGATAGTGAAATATGTAGGACTAAGTAAAAAAGAAACACGTAAAATACATATTTAAGTTATAGAAAATATCACAAATTCTGCAAAGCATATTTTAACAGCTGCAAAATTTTCGAAAATGTATTTTACGCTTTATACTATATCTATTGCAAACCCCAAGTTACATAGTTAACCAACATCTTGTTAAGCTTATAAAAATGTTATACTGTTCCATTTCATCAATTTTTTCCATTACCACATTCCCTGATTGTTAGAATGGTCTACGGATTTCATCAAACTCAGTGTTTCACACATATACCTTTACTGAAAAGCCAGGGTCAATTTTGCAGTTTTTAAAATGGCCATGACTACGTTCTTTCCGTTTGTACCCAATAAAGTGTGACACATAAAACAGAATTTAAAAAAAGCAGACCACATATTTTATATTTATTTTCGGCGGTATCCCACACGTAATTTCCAGAGCCACCAAAAGCGGAGAAATATTTCAATGATCTATTTATGGTGCAGGATTATACCTCAATGTGGCGTCGTTGCTCTGAATTTATTATATTCTCAAATCAAGACTTTTCTCTCAATATAATAAAACAATCCAACGAATCCACCCCTGAGCTTCTTCAATTGTAACAATAAAATATGTTTTAATATAAGAGATGAATTAAAATATAAACTGATATTTCTTTCCAAACCAATTTTTAATAGGTCACACTTTTATTAGGTTAACTTTGAGACTCAAATTTACAATTCAATTGATATTTAACACACATTTCACAATGCTACGTTGAGCTTGGACCGTCCTGTGTAATGAGGACGTACATATATAAAACAAAACACTAATAAAATTCTTTAGAAAAAAAGCTAAATTGAAATGCACAAACTGCATATGCTTGACTTTCTTTTTTGAACAGTTAGTTTTGAATAGTTAAGTGTTGGATGTGAAATGAACCTCACTACAGTTGGGCTCTAGTATACAGCAGTGATTTCATACGATGTGGAGCCGGGTGCATTTAATTTTTCTACTTCATACATTTTATACTTCAGTTTATCATTGTTGAACTTACTTCCATACTTTTTATAAACACATTTCAACATCACTTGAATTAAACTTGACCAGCCAATATAATTTACTCATTTACTTAATTTAAAAACCGATTAATACGATATTGCACTTTATTCACCTGTTTAGGAATCATGCCCTAAAAGAAATATATTTTTCAGTATGTGGAAAGTGTTTTGGGTGTTCAACATAGCAAACAAAACTGAACACCGACTTCAAGTACCTAACTGGGCTTCAAATCCCTAACATCACTGCTCCGTACTCTAATTCCAAACTATAAATACATTTACAGCAAATATCGGGAAATTTTGATGCAGCGAGAGCTACATAAAGAGCAATGTTTAAAGAGTATGATAGTTCAATTCAGTGCGCGTTTTGTAGAACTTTAAGGCAACAAATCCAATTGCGACCATGGAGAGAGCTAAAATTATACCTGCAAAAAAAAGTACATTATTACAATCCTGCCAGTTATACCTAACTAATTATCAGTATCTATCAGAGCACAACATTTCATAATAATAAAGCAATTTGTTGAAAATATGCTTCCTTCAGGCCTGCCTTTTCTACAAAGTGACCACCAAATGTCGAACCACCACCGATCAGGAATCGCATTAGTAAGGCTAAAGAACTCTGGCCCATAGACGCTGTTAAGGCTCATTAAATTTTTATTTAGTCAGTTCGAATTTTATGTTGCAAATTTAAAGACGAAGGCGAATAGTTTGGAGCTTCCAAATATCATGCGCTATTCTTAGAATTCGGAATTTAAGACAAAACCGAAAACTTCAAGTCCGCAAATTGCTTCTTTTATAAATGATAATTTTTACTTCAAGTTTCTCACTTTAATTACAGCATTTTTCGACGGTCGGAAAGTAGAACTGCTAAAGTTTAACATGAAGTATAAATTAGTCATCGAATTATCAAAAAAGAATACTTTGAAGCAGATAATATTCTCAGACGACTGATATTCCTGATTAAAATATTCTAAGAGAAAGACTTAAGTTTTCTATTTTCAATCTTATAACTCGAGCAAGTCTATAAAGTCAATAAAATCAAGGATAATTACTTAATTGTTATGTCGGAATCTGATAAGTGGTTACGAGTGCGATTTCCAAACCTATTCGATCTATAGCGTATGTCGCAGATTTTATGTAACAGCATTATACGAGTTGTTTTACAAAAAAATATTTATTTCCATCTAATCTGTTTTTACTTTTTTTTCAACAAACAATATACTTTTTGTTAGGTTGTCGAACACCGCGCTTCGTATTTCGCATTCAAGTGGTAGCAAATAACAGTCACCGTTTAAACTGTTTAAACCTTGAAAAATAGCGAATTCGCCGTTCAGTTTTCTCCAAACGAATGTGCAGACGTGGCCATTGTAAGACAGGTCGGAAACAAGCATCACGTGAGCGATGCTGATGTCAGACGTCTAGCCGGTGGAAACACAACCTCACGTTTCCTTACTCTACTGCTAGGTACTACTACTACTACTACTCAACATATGTTACATGCTGTCAAGTGTAAGGAATTCATAGGTTTCCCTAGACCAATATTATTTTTCTGATGGGATGCAAAGCTAGTTTACCTCCACGTGGTGTGGCCCGACTAACACTAACTGGACTAGCAAACTTCAGCGTTCAGACAATATCTCCGGATCTCCTGGCCACTATACATGGATTTACGCACTTCAAAATCCTCCAACCGCGGTTCTTCTCAGGACCAAAGGACAAAAAATAAACGACAAACAACTTAGCAGAGCTAAGAGTGAGTACATTTCAAAGCTCTTGCTAGACGAAAACATTGACATGGCCATTATCCAAGAAACCCACATAGAGACTGAAGACCAACAGCGCCAAGGAGCAGCAGAGCACCTGGATTCGACGGAATTCACCCTGAATTCCTTAAAAACATTAGAATGTGGTTGAGAAAATTTTAGGCTGACATCCTACTGACAGGTCAAGTCCCAACGGAACTTAAAACATCCAAAATAATCGCAATCCTAAAACGAAACAAACCCAAGAACCTGCCTGAGAGCTTTAGTCCGATAGCCTTATTGAGTTCATGGAAAGGATGCTCCTAAACCGACTAGGTCCAACGATAATGGAGCATATTCCTATTGAACAGGCCGGGTTCAGGGCCCATCGTAGCTGTGTCGACCAGGTGCTCAACTTAACACACATAGAAGCAGGGTTTGTTTCAAAACAGCTGAAGGCAACTGTGGTGTTCGTTGACTTGACTGCAGCATACGAGACGGTCTGGAGAGAAGGACTCCTCTATAACTTTCTCAACGTGGTACCGTGCAGCCGAATAGCATCCCTGTTAAACAATATGCCTTTTCAAATTATAATAGGAGGGAGCAAGAGCAAAACGAGACATCTCAATAATGGACTGCCCCAGGGCTCGGTATTCGCACCTGCTCTATATAATCTATTGCTGTCTTGCATCGGGGAGTGAAACAATGGGGGAGGCCAGTAACACGCTGTCAGAAAATTGGGCCCTGCTGGGGCGATATTTGGCCGAGACTTAGTCCCTAATATGAATAAAACTGAAGTGATGTGCTTCCACCTACAAACCTAAACAAGCACGACTAGAGCCCCAAGTATACTTCAACAATAACCTACTACGCTACAATCCTTACCCAAAATATCTAGAGGTAACAATGGACCGAAATCTTTCATACAAAACGCACCAGAAATAATATAAATCCCAACCTCTGCGGTATTACTTGGGCCGCGAAAGCATCCACTCTCAAAACTTCAGCTCTTAGTCTTGCTAACACCGAAATATTATTTTTATAGAAATGTTTGAAACAAGTGTGAGGACATTGATCCCCTTAAGGACAAAAATGGACACACTTGTAATAATTTGTCTCCTAATGAGATGTAAACTGCCTGTTCAACAGGATTAAATTAGCGAATGGACTCTTGTATCATTGGCCGCGCGGACGACAGTTTGAACAGCAAGTTGATTATATTTTTTACAACATAGATGTTCATTTTTAGAAATGTTTTTCGGGCTTTGAAGTCGTGGTCCACAGGAATGTCTTCCTGACGTTTCGTCCACAATTGAGGTGGACATTATCCACGGCGGTGCGGCAGTGGGCGAAGTGATCTCCCGTGCTTTCCAACTAGACTTTCCTATTAAAATTGTTGTCATGTTTAAAGATCTCAATGGCCTCTCTGGTTAGTCTCGGGTAATACCGTTGAGATTGGTGACGGCCACCAAATACGTTTAGATGAAGTGGACACTTTGCACCTTGTAAAGAGGTAACGGCCCTTAATCCAGATTGGAAACGCGCTTTGCGGCAAACAGCGTGTGCACCAAAACCATTGAAGCCCCGCCCACTCCTAACGCATGAGCACGGCCGGGTCGCATAAATACGACAGGGGATCCAGTAGTAGAACCAGTAGAGATCGATCGTTCTGACTTTGAGCAATCAACATCGTGACACGCAGCGCGCTCTGCAGAATCACATTGTTGGATATCGAAGAGAAAACTGTCTAAGAGAGTTTACCATTCTTGGTTTGCTGAAAGTTCCTAAACTACGCTG